GGCACCATTTGCTGATAAAACTGACAGACTGATGTCAAACTTCAAAACATATGAAAATCATAATTTGCTAGTGACGTAAACATGACCTTGATTGTAATTGACGGTCAAAGACATCCAATTATCATGATAATGTATTCACGATGTACGATTAAATGGCATACGCGAACTCGTCTCAAGATGTATAACAATCAAATACGAACCTAATAGGTCGTGGACTGAAAAATGAAGTCGAAACACCTGTGCCTCACTTACGAATAATTAAACGAATCTTAGAAACTACGCTTCGTAACCACCACTTACAGAAGTCGATTTTTTTTTATTTGGAGCTTATGCATGGCCTTATCGTTTGATATATAAATAAATGTCGTTTCAGTAACTGTTAGTAGAACTAACAGTCACATGGAGTATTCTCGTCCAAAAGGAACTCTGTGATCACTACTCTATGTGAGGCAGTTTATTTCGTTCACATAAATACATATTTATTTTTAAATATTATACACTAGTTGTTGCTCGCGACTTCGTCCGCGTGAAGTTAAAAAAATATATTACTCAATGATAACAAGTCACAATAATTGACTTAGGACTACGTTTTTTTCAAACGAACTAGAATTAAGGTAAACATTAAAATTATTTTCATAGTTGTATCATTTTAAAATACTAACCTTACTAATATTACTAATGCAAAAGTTTAGATGGAATGGATGTTTGTTAGAGTTTGTAGCCTAAACAGCTGAAGGGATCTCGATGAAATTTGGCATAGATGTAAAGAACAATCTGGAAGAATACATAGGCTACTTGCTTTTGTTTTTTTTTTCCGCGCGGACGGAGTTGCAGGCGAAAGCTAGTAAACTCTATATTTAAACTAACCGCTTGCCAATTGCCGCTAGTAAATGAATTAATCGCCTTCAAAGCAATAAATAGCTCCTAAATCTACAAAAAAATTAACATGTAAAATTTTTAATTTCAAAGATACTGGATACAAACAAAAACTTTCTCATACAATTGTTGATACAATCTTACACCCGAATTAACTCGACTGAGCGGTAAGGGGGTCACGGCTGTGTAGAGCGAGATGGACTATATAAACTTATCATTTGATAGAGTGAGACGAAAGACTCTGAGTTTCATTGAAGAGACGAGGAAAGTCGAAGCGAGGATGTAAGGGTAAAATACACTGGAGGTAAGTGTATAATTAATTTAGCTTCATTGTAGTACTTGATTAAAAATTAGAAGCACTTTACTTTGCAGTGGTTTTTCTACACAAAATTTTTGCGTATATTAAGTTGATTTAGATGTCAATTTTTTGATGGCACACAAATCTATTTTTTGATACAAGATCAAGATTAAAAGCAGATTATATATAAACAAAAACATGATTTTTAAATAACAGCAAAAAATATTTTTCTAATAAAATTACACCTCATATCTTATACATTAAAAATAAATCAATACCCTAGTGTATACACACCTTAATAAGTAATTTGGCTTTTAAAACAATAACAGGGTATTTGCGACGTTGATAAATTTATCGTTTCTTGTTAAATGACGATGAAACTTTATAAGACACGGCAAGAATCGTAATATTTTAAATGCAGTATCACGCTAAAGTCAGTAAACGTAAAAATTTAATTAGACAATATGTAATTAATTAACGTAGCTTTTTAATGGTGAAAGAACTTTTGAAATCGGCCTAGTGGTTAATGAGTTATTTCAATACATACAAAAATCCAAATCTTTCCTCTTTACAATGTTAGTATTGGATAGTACAGAAGTATAGATTGAATTGAGCCGTGATGCTTATTTAGTTGAGCCGCAGCTCAACGATTCCATGAGATGAACTTTTGAACTAGTTCAGAGCCATACCTACGTCTATTTTAGAATGCCGTTTTAAAATTTCCCGCACATTTCAACTGACCGTAGCAATGTCACAGAGTATTAAAAACAACATATCTCATAGAGATAATTTATAGAATCATAACATATATTTTACCAAAGGTTTTTTATGATTTAATTAATGAAATAGTAAATTTAAGATAATTCGGAACATTAAAACAAACATCAGTCACTTGAATTTACTTGTATGTTTCGACATTATATTCTAAAACTTGGCAACACCAAAAACTTCAAAGAGATTTACATGACATTGTAATTATTAACAAAAGAACGTTGTCAGTTAAAGATTCAAGGTCATCCTTATTTCTAGAATTTTCTTATTTCAATTTCACTAACAATTATGCCTTCAAATAAAAATTACCACCATGCTCAATAATTAAACAATATAACAGCCATTCTTGGCTCACTTAGTGATCATTTATCGACTCTGAGTAGATATTATTCTTCCCCAGATTATTATTATGCGCCGCACGTAACACGACCTTGTATTTACCGAAAATCTAAATTGTAAAAACAAACAGTACTATGACCTCTTTAAATATAACGGTAAAGAAACAATATTGGTACAATAAAATATCATAGACATTTGTTCCGATACGAAATGAGTACATTAGAGTAAGTTTGTGAGTTGCCCCAGTGGTAGAAAAGGTAAGGAATAAAAGGAATAAATGGGCATGTTATGAGGAGGGATGAATCGCATGTAACAAGGAGAACGTTAGTTATGAGTCTACACCGGTAGAGATAGAGAGAAAGAGATGGATGAATTGCGTGAAAGGTGACATGATCAAGAAGGGAGTGATGACTGAGATGACGTATGATACGAGTTATTTAGGGGACAAAAACCTATTGCGCCGACCCTATAGGAGTAGCATAAGGAGAAAAACGATGATGAAACACTTGTTCCGATGGCGATGGCGGGAATTATTAAGTAATTCAATTTTATAAAATTGTTTCTTTAACATTAATAAGATTACTAACACTAGTCAATTAGTCTCTTTACTAACAAATCATGTGATTTTTTCGGAACAAAGTTTTATTATTATTTTTATATCTATGCTAATATAATAAAGCTTAAACATACACTTCTTTATTGCCTAAGATGTCTCCAATTACAACATAATTTTGAATAATTATTTTATAAATAAATAGCCCTACACTTATTTCATGCTTTAGGCTATATATTTTCACGCCGTTAAACTTAGAGGTAAATATTTTGGATAAAAACCCTAATGTGGGAAAGAGACCATAAGTTGTTGCCAACATCAATGAAGCAAGATTGCCATGGTTTGTCATGTCATGTCATTTTGACATTTGCAATTGATAATTTGACAAATATAAACAATAAAATAAAGTTTTTATAATTCCATGTGGATGAAGCCGCAAGGGAACAGCTAGTAGTTTTATGAATTAACAGTTTAACTAAATAAAACAAGTGAAACACTACTTGCATATCTATCGCGTAATAATAATTTTAGAGCCCTCGCTAAAATAATATTGTTCATATTATTTTAGCTAATAAATAACGATTACAAGTTAAAGTATGTTCTCTAACAATATCAACTAAAGCAATCGACCGATGCAGGCAACTTTCGCCCGCTTTCGTTCACAGCTGATTTGCGGTAGGGTTGCCAACTCTTCGTTTTGCACACGAATTTATTATGGTGCTTATTCGGGCTTCCAATTTGACATCGATGACATTGAATCAGAAAAAGTTTCAAGTCACTACACATTTTTTTGTCATACCACCTATTTACACAAAGTAATATTTTATAGGCGTTATTGTTTACTGTAAAGTCAAAATTATTATGTAATTATTCCGGTATATCTGTTACTTTGTCTATGAATTCTGGGTTGAAGTCGCTAGTCGTTGCTTTTATTGTAAGTTGGCAGCCCTACGTGGTACATTCTTATATTAGCGACGTGTTAACTATTGCAAGACGTGAAGTAACGTCCTCTGTGTTAAATAATTCAGATGAAACTTCGACAAATTTAAGTCAGTGTTATAGATTTCCAACAAAGCATTGTTCGGGTGGCAACATTATTAAATTAGTCTTTTATTTTTTCAGGTTAAAAATAGTTACATTTAATTTTTTATGTTTACAAACGTGAATTATGTTATTATGTTGATAAATCTAAGAGCGCGTGCACACCTAAAACTAAACTATCGCCGCACAACTGTTTAGTTGTGCTTTAATTCCTAAGCTTATATGGAGGTGCGCACACTACTCGATTTTTATTTGTGCAACTAAAGAGTTGAAGGCTGCGAAACAATCGACAATCGCACAACTGTTGTGCGATAGTTTAATCAAAGGTGTACCCTCTTTGAGGGATGATGTCATATTTTTGTACAGTTCAAACTGATGGTTACTCAAGTTACAGACAAGTTAGTAAAATGAATCATCAGCCCCATTGTTGTATGAACTTGATTTATGTAGCCATATGTTCAAACAGCCTTATCGATTCAAACTAAATATCATTGAACGTTCTTTTTAAATGCTGACCACGAAATTATTTTTATACTAAGAAATAATGAAAGCAGTAAAAGAAAAATTTTTCTTTTTTCTTTTTTCTTTTAAAGATTCTTTTAAAGATTTTTCTTTTAAAACTACGAAAAACCAAAACGTATTTGAACTTTTTGTTAAAGTAACTTGGAACTAAAAAAATAACAAAGTTAACTTAACCATTAATAACATTTTATACATGAAATAATTATTCAATACAATCTTCAAAAATAATTAGGTAACGGTGTGTATCCAGAATTTATTATTCACGTAGTTTTCAGAAAAGCTAAACTTCCACGTAAAACCCGTTATAACAAAGGCCGAGGTTATTCCACGAAAAAGATTTCTAAAAGTCAACTTCAAAATGAGCTTAACGATAATAAAACTTCATCACAATTTTTTAATACATACATGACTTTTTAAAATGGCAAATAATCAATAAAATTATAAAATGCTGCTCATAAACATCTGCAAACTGCCTGTATTTGACAAACATAAAAAAAACTTCCTTTCCACAAAATTCAATACGCTATGCCAAGCTACTCTTACAACGAAAGGCCGGGGAAGTAAATGGACTAGAAACACAATTATAAGTAATGTACTCACAATATCGTGACCCTGGCTGCCACTCCTGACCACCTCCGGCGCCATATACTCTATGGTACCACAGAAGCTGTACGCCCGACTCTCTCCCCCACAGAATTCTTTGGACAGGCCAAAGTCCGTCAGCACGATATGACCTTCCGCATCCAGTAAGATATTCTCCAACTTGATGTCACGATAGATGATGCCAAGCTGGGGAGATAAGAATAAAACAAATTAAAACAGTTGAATCAAATTTTAGTATATACAACATAGTTGTCTGCGACTTCGACCCCGTGAAATTAAAAAACATATGTTACTTATAACCTGTCTTTTTGGTGTAAGAATTTTTGACATTGGCCCAGTAGTTTTTGAGTTATATCAATACATACAAAAATACAAATCTGCCCTCTTTATGACATTAGTATAGATAAGGCGATACACTTGAGTACATTTTGTTCCACATAATTCACAACATTGGATCATGAGTTCCACTTTTACAAAATTCCTTTAAGAAACCTGACTTTGTAAAGGTTTAGTAGTCGCATTTGCCTGTCTGTTGTTTTTTCCTAATCTTTTATTAACAGAATCCTTTAAAATTTAACAATTAACCAACAAACCATGTTACGATAGAGCTTCCTTCTTCCTAAAGAGATGCATTCAACTGTGAAAATTAAACGATCGTGAACACTTTTTTTGGAGTTTAAAACTATCTGGATTTAGATCAACTCTTAAATCCATTTCTAGAACCTACTGTACTAAGAGTTCAAGCATTCCTAACATTGATAAAAACTTATTAGAATAGTAACATCGAAAAACATCTTACTATAGAAAATTTGTCAAAGTATTTAGAAACGTTTGCAACAGTTCAGTCGTGAACAGTTAGCTGCATAAACAATACGTTTGCTCTACAAAAACTTGTATAGGTTTTCGATTTCGAATATAGTGTACATTTTGTCTGTCGTATGCTTCCGACTATGAACACTTGATATTAATGTATTGCTTACAAAAGTTTGCAATTGTATACATATTCATGCAGCTAACTGTACTCGCATTGGAATATAACCCATATTCTAATACTATCGCATAACAAACATCTCACCTTATGCAGCTGTTCAAGGGCCAGTATAATCTCCGCAATATAAATCCGGACCTCGTCTTCATGAAAATGTTCTCTCTGGTACAGATGAGTGAACAATTCGCCACCGGCTACATAATCTGCGAAAGAACAAAGATTATTAGTAAAATAAAAACATACAAAAACATAAAAGTATGTATGGTTTGAACAAAAAATCAACTCCCCGATGAGATGAATTTTCTTTCTCACACTTGAAATGTCACAGCATTAAAAGTACAAAAAAGATTGTCATCCCTTTCATTCTCTTAACGAAAATTGAGATAATATTAGTCAATTTTAATTCAGTGAACATTTTCTCAATTTCACTCGTTTACTATTTCGGTAAGGCATTAAAGCAAGTAAAAAAATACAAGTAACATTCAGGTCTCGCGTTATACTTTTATCGCCGTCTTCCTCGCAACTAGGTCAAACGCTCACTTAGATATTTCGACCCAGATCTATGTACAATCGGCTACATAATCGATTATCATAATCACATACAAGTTCACATTTACCGATTGTCGTAACATATATCTTACTAATATAAATGCGAAAGTTTAGATGGATGGACGGATGTTTGTCAGAGTTTGTAGCTAAAATTACTGAACGAATCCCGATGAAATTTGGTGTAGATGTAGAGGATAGTTTGGAAGAACACATAGGCTACATACTTTTGTTTTTATTAATTCCACACGGACGGAGTCGCGGGCAAAAGCTAGTTTACAATAATTTTAAAATCATATATTGTTTGCTTATGTCAAATTTAATTAAGTTCTATTTTAAATCTTGTGGCATAATATTTGTGAAATTAAAAAAGTGTATATGGAACTATTTTGTGAAATAAATTTAACGAAATAGGTTACGATTTTGTAAAATACACTTTAAAATACAAAAACAAGTAGAGATAGTTATTTTGTCACTGAGATATCTTATTCTTTAATCGAAAACAAAAAACTATAAAACCTTTGTACATTAATATTAAATTATATAAGTACTTTTGTGCGCGACTGTACAGGAGACGCTGCTCCTTATTATGATAAATCGCTTATATGGTCTTGGATTTATTCATAAAATTGTCATTATGTATTTTCTAATGTTGAACTAAAGGATTATTCCCAACCGTCACCCCATCCTGTCCCTGTAAGTCAACTTGCTCAGTAATCTTAAAGTAAATCGAATGCTAGGTACACGATTCACGAAATACGTATTTTTAACCGCAGACTGAATTTCAAAAAAGCCTTGACACAGTTCTTAAAACTTTTTGTGTGGATTAATTTGATATCAAAGAAATAACTTGAATGACAATTGGTTAAACAATACTAGTAGAGCAGACGAATGCAGTCTTTCGTGATGAAATTATTTAATACAATATAAAAATTACCTGTACATCTTTATGTACGTACTAGCTGTTCCCCCCATGTGACTTAATTTGCATGAAATTATGAGAATTTTATTTTTTTTTGTTTACATTTGTCAAATTATCAATTACAAATGTCAAACTGATATGACATGATGACAACCATGCTTCCTTGATGTTGGCAGCAACTTATTGTCTCTTTCCCACATTAGGGTTATTATCCAAAATATTAACCCCTAAGTTTAGTGGCGTTAAAAGATATAGCCTAAAGCGTGACGCAAGGGTACGGATTTTTATTCCAAATAGAATTATTCAAAAATATACTGTAATTGCTGATATCTTAGGCAACAAAGAAGTGTGTATTTACGTTTTATTATAATATAAGTATGGATTAATTAGCTTGGTATGAGCATGTTATAAGAAAGGAAAAATCTTAAAAAAAAACTATAAGTGCACTTCCTATGGATTACAAAAATCCATAGAGGTCTTAAAATAACTACCATGTTAAGAGGTCAAATGCATCATTTAACTTTATATCAGAGATTCTCAAAATCTCGTAGACCCTTTACACACTATTACTTTACTCTCGCTATTGTTGACCTTAAGTAGGTCCTTCTACGGAGCCCTGGGGGTCCACTTGAATTACTAGGAAATACTAGTAACACAAAATCTATATGACATATGTTTGTCTGTACATCTATGTTATTAAGTCATTTGATTAGCTACTGCTAAATTGCGTACAGAGCGCACAATACATACTATGAGATTACATTCAAAGTTTCCCAACTTGCAAGTTGATCATATGTGCCCCAAGTGATGAAAGATAGCGTTTTAGGGAAACTATTTAGCCAGACATTTTATTATTTTACAATAACAAGTCACGTATTGCTACGATGTTTCCAAATGTAATATTTAATAAGGTTTAAAAATAAAACGTACGAAAAATGTAGTAAACATTAATAAAAAAAGCAGCGTTTAATTACAATTACTTCTTCTATGTTGAAAACATATAATGACATATTAACTCCATCTATAATCCTAAAAACACTAATTTCATGGTTTCAATAATCGCTTTCTCTTATGCACTGTATCCTCTATATAAAGTCACCGTTCACAGTACACGTGCAAGCGTGGAACAAAAGGTAGGGTGCGGGGGGTGACTAGCGGAGCGTCCGTCGACGGGTCAAGGCGACGGAAATCGCTCCGCTTGTGAAATATACACCGCAGCAAGTAGAGGTAATCGGAGTTATTATTTTAGTGTTTATAATTTTATGTATCCGATATGAATTCAGAATTGACCAATCTATACTTCTATACTATTACAATAAAGCGTAAACACGCATTTCTTTGTTGCCTAAGATGTCAGCAAATACAGAATATTTTCGAATGACTCTTTTTTTAATAAAAATCCCTACATTTATGTCAAGCTTTAGGCTATTTATTTTCACGCCATTAAACTTAGGGGGTAAATATTTTGGATAAAAACCCTAATGTGGGAAAGAGAGCATAAGTTGCTGCCAACATCAAGAAAGCAAGGTTGTCATCATGTCATGTCGACATTTGTAATTGATAATTTGACAAATGTAAACAACAAAATATAATTTTCATAACTTTATGCGGATGAAGTCGCACTGGAACAGCTAGTTTTACATATAAACTGTGTTTTATTTTTCTCTTTGTAAAAGTATAGGAATTAATACCTGTGTTGTGGCTATTAAAAATGCTATAAGCTATACGTTATTACTGGATTTATGCATTAGTACAGCTTTAAGTAATTTCCCATGGGTTAAAAGCATTATATAAAAGGGGAATGATTGTCCTCAAGGTCAAAATATCTGACATTGAAAACACTTCACCTTATTACATACAAGCTGTTCCCATGCGGTTTCAACCACATGAATATTGTCATTTGTCAAATTATCAATAGCAAATGTCAAAATGACATGACATGGCAATGTTGCTTCCTTGATGTGGAATCCTTATGGTCTCTTTCCCACATAAGGGTTTTTATCCAAAATATTTACCCCCTAAGTTTAATGGCGTGAAAATATATAGCCTAAAGCGTGACGTAAGTATTGGGATTTTTATTAAAAAAAAATAAATTCAAAAACATGATGTAATTGCTGACATCTTAGGCAACAAAGAAGTGTTTGAATACGCTTTATTATAATAGTATAGATTTTCTATGCAAAATTTCACCATATTACATACATATTACTTTTTAGCAGTTGTTTATTTTCCTTATTAAGAACTTACTTCGCAACCTAAAAATGAAAAAAAA